CCTTTATGTTATTTTTCTCTCTGTGGTTTTCCTTTGCTGACACACAGTTGGTTAATATGACAAAGCCTGTTATGACACTGTTGTTCTTGCTGCTACTGCCACTGCTGCTGCTGTTGATTATGCTGCGTTCCCAGCTAACTGCATGTCTTTTTTTTTTGTTTTCTGTTTGTTTGTTTTTTGTTCTTGTTTCTCTGCAACCCTCCCACCCACCCTCCCCTTCACCTCCATCTCTCACGTCTCCATGTGACATGATGCATCTTTGTGACTCATATGGGTTTATTCTGACTTTCCTTTCTCTGCTCGCCCGCTGTGTGCGTGTCTCACTGTTCTCGATGTGCATGGACACTCTGTGTCTATCTTGTAGCCTATCAGAAAGTTTTTCATCCCCCCTCAGACTCCTGACCTCCCTTTCTCCCCCCGACCCCAAGTCTCCTTGGACCCTGATGCTTGTAGGAATGCCTCCAGGCCTGGACATGTTCTCCAACCAAAGCCAACACTTCAGTCCAACCCAAAGACGCAGACTTTGCCATCCAAGAACAAATTGGCCGAAAAACCGCTCCAGTCTACCAAATCCAACCCGCTCCCTGCCAGCAATGCCAGCGCTCCCTCTTCCCAGAATCCCCCTGTGCAGAATGCCCAGGGCCGCCCACCCACTGCCGGCTTTAGCCCTCAGCTGGCCATTCCTACAGTGCAGGCCAACCCTATGTCTCCTGTTAGATTACTCCCTTCTAGTACTGACCCAAGCACCAAATCTATCCCCATCATACAGGTCACCCCTCACCCCTCTCCAAGGGGAAGTCCCCTCCCTACCCCCAAGGGGACACCCGTCCATACGCCAAAGGAGAGCCCTGCAGGCACACCCAATCCAACGCCACCATCCAGCCCCAGCATTGGAGGAATGCCCTGGAGAACACGGCTCAACTCAATCAAGAACAGCTTCCTGGGGTCTCCTCGGTTCCATCGCCGGAAATTGCAAGGTGAGTCTCTTCTCCAAAGGAACGGGGATATCCTAATTGGAGCAAGTGTTCAGCAATGAACTAGCAACTCAAAGAGATTCAGCAAGTCTCATTTGCAGAGAAGTGACTGTCAGGCTATGTCTACACCACAGAGATTTTTTGGAAAAGCGGTTGTTTTTCTGAAAAAACTTCACTTTTGTCCACACTGCAATTGCATGATTTCACACCAGGGCACCTGTGCTTCTTCTTCTTCCCTCTTCCCCGTCCACACACGTCTTTTTCTGAAAGAGCTCTTTCAGAAAAAGACGTGTGTGGACGGGGAAGAGGGAAGAAGAAGAAGCACAGGTGCCCTGGTGGCCATTCCGTCCATAGTGATCACAGCTTACATGCGAGATAGCATCCATTCAGTGTGGATGCTATCGTTCGAAAAAGCAGATCACTTTTTCAGTGCGCTTTGGCAGGATGGATGCTCTCTTTCGGAAAAAGTTTTTTCAGAAGATCTCTTCCCAAAAAGCTTCTTCCGAAAGAAGTCTGCAGTCTAGACGTAGCCTCAGTGTTGGAAAGAGCGAGGGAGCTGATGCAAGGCCAAAGCAAGAGTGGACAGCTTCTGTGTACTCGGCTGCTGCTCCTCAATCCTGGGATGCAGCATATCTTCCTATTCCAACCCTGAACGCCCATGCCGCGCTGCCTGCTATCTCCATCCTGTAGCTGCCAGTGCCCCTCAATCATGGCCTTGCAGCATCTCCTACTACTTCACTTCTGGAACCTACCCTGCTATAGTCTTGCTGCTATTCCAGGCCTGGCTGTCTCTCAAAGAGAGACCAGTTGGCGGGAATAGACTGAGATTGTCCCTACAGGGTAGCTGGTTTCATAATCCTGTTTAATTCTTTCTTTCTTTTTCTCCTGAGCCTAACTGTTGTAAACTATCCCTTAATTAATCGGTACTATCAGGTCTGTTTAGAAAGTTATCGTTTTTACAGACCCTGGAGTTCTAAGATGGACATGGTTGTTTGCATCAAGATTTGGATGGCTTTTTCCTTTTAGGTAAAGGGCACATTAAGTCACATACATAATGCCAGAAGCTGTCAAAATTAAACCAAGTCCTTATGGTTTTACACTCAAGGTATTGGGGTCTGTCCTATGAGGAAAGTACCATCTAACACACTTAAGGACAATCTAAAATAGATGCCCTGATTGTCAGAGACTCTGATGGCCGGTCCAGGACTGAGAACTGACAGTGAACCAGAGATCCTGCTCATAGGAAGGGCTGATCAGCTAGTTTTCATTTTTATCTCAAGCATCAGCCTGTACCTCTAACAGGAGCTCTTTGGATTCCGTGCACAGTGCTAATGCAGCTGGATTGATGTAGCAGCATGCCAATTTCTCATTTGCGCTTTGATGAGTCCAGGGATTCCCTCTGTGTTTGCAGTGGATGTGGGAGCCTTTAGATGAAAGGCATTGTACAAAGTATAAATATAAACCATTGATTTTCGTGTATTTATTAATAAGGAGAAAGTGATTCAGACACCAGAGGGATAAGCTCAGTCTAAGGGCCTGATCCAAAGCAGGTGGAAGCTAATGGAAGACTTCAGTGGGCTTTTAGTAAGATCCTGAAGGCATCACTACCTCAGAATAGAGTAGTCACAGTGATCTAGGAACACAAGACCAATGTCTAGACATCAGGGCTAGCTTGCTGTTTTTAGAAGCTCTGAGCATGGGAGAAACGCAAGGCGGGTTGGTACAAGGATTATTCATTGGTATAGAAGCAGGAAGAGGAAGATTCATGTATTTACCATTTCCTTTTTCTCACTCCGTCTTTGTGTGTGTGAACGATCATACAGTACCTACACCAGAGGAGATGTCCAATTTAACCCCGGAATCTTCCCCAGAGTAAGTAATTCACTATTATGCTACTTCTCCCACCACCTTATCGTTTCATTCCTGTACCGAATGGTGTGATATGACCACAGTCCATTCCTGGTCCTGAAAGGCTCTCGCACGTGGTCTAGATGTGTAAAATGGCTCTTCCACTAGGGTCCATGGGCATAATCCAATGCCCAGTGAAGTCCGTGCAAGTCAACAGGTGTGGATGAAAGGCCACGTAACCTCCTTCATTTTCTTTGGGGCACTCAGCTTGCCAGCTCTGAAACACGATCCTGCTCTCTCACTCTCTCTGTTGTCCTGTGTTTCTCCAGTAAATCATCTCGGGGAGGAAGTTCTTGTAATTGGCCTTAGCAGTGCAATGACAGGGATTCCACTTCATCTGGTACAGTGTGTGATCCAAGGATTGTACATACAGAGTCATTCCTGGAGAGATTAAAAAAACTCACTGCCTGTGATAGTGAATGCAGTGATAGGTCCTGGCAGCACCAGGAGCTGCAGAGGCTGTTTGATATTCACCATGCATGTTCCTAAAAATCAGTGCACAATTAAACAATTTCTAATGTGCGTCACTGCGCGGCGTGCTTGGAAGACACTGCCAGGAAGCAGAACTCTAAACATTTCCTAGTATATGCAACAGATTCCAAATTATTCCTTTTTATTTTCACAGCTTGTGTTTGTACATCCAATGCCCATCGAATTTCCCTGCCAACCAATGCGGTTTAGCCCTCTGTTAGAAATATGTGTGTGAAATATTCATGAGTCCTAGATGAAGATTAGGGTTTCAAAGTTGCCTGAACAGTTTTACCAGTGCCAGGGCATTGCTTTGTGAAAGCTCGGCAGTCCATTTCCAATGTTGCGCCAGCAAGGCGAGTGGAGGATAGTCAGGGGAGGGGAGGATGACAGGAATGAGGAGTAAAGAGAGAGAAAGGTCCAGGAGGCAAATTAGAACAAGTTGTGTATTTAAAGCATGGGATGTTTACTGTTAAGCTGGACTTAGGGAAACTTTGCAAAGAGAACAGGTTCACCCTGAAGAAATAAATGAAACACTCATGCCAAATGGTCTTGAGTATTAAAGCTGTAAAAGTTTCTTTCTTGCTTTCTTTCTTTCACCAGTGGAAGCTCCTGCCATCTTTTCTTCACACTGTTCCTTTAAGAGCCAGTGGTGAGGTAGACTTTGTCATTTGAGGCAGTTTGGATGCAAGTCAAGGCTTAAGGCTCTCTATCTCTTTCCTGTATAATTGCTGAATTAATGAGTTCAATTGGGTTGTACCCTGCAGAAAAAATAATAAAACTTGTAAAAAAATTAACTAGATTTTATTTTAACCATAGATGTCTTGTTTCTCAGCACCTACTTCCACATATCTTGAGGTTTTTTCCATGAGAAAAAAAGACATCTTCATCAAGAACTCTATTGACTTCATCTTTTTTATGATAAACATATGTTTCCTTTCTCTGTTATAGCATCTCTTAATGACTTTCTCGTTCATTCTAAGCTCCCAGTGATTGGCTAATATATCATGATATATCTAAGTAATGCTTGTCTTTTTCTCTTATGAAAAGTTTTAGTTAATTTATTAGCAATAAAATCTAAAGGGATAGAGCCTCAAGTGGTGTATTAAACCAATGCCCCAATTCAGGAAGGCATTTAAGCACACATTTAACCTTAACCAATGTGAGTAGACACATTGGTATCAATGGAGCTAATCATATATCTAAAGTGATGCTCATGCTTAAGTATCTTGCTTAATCAAGATCCAAATAAGGAGCTTGCACAAAGGACAAATTGCTGTAGCTGTTTAATAAAGAATGACTTTCTTTCTTTCTTTCTTTCTTTCTTTCTTTCTTTCTTTCTTTCTTTCTTTCTTTCTTTCTTTCTTTCTTTCTTTCTTTCTTTCTTTCTTTCTTTCTATTTCTGTATCCCTTTAAACCTCATTCCAGGAGGAATAAGAGATGTCTCAAAATTGCCGTGTAGATGCACCAAATTTTGAAATAGCCTGTTTCGAAATAAAATAGAAATGAGATACGCAATTTGTGTAGCGCAAATCACATATCTTATTTCGATTTTAGAGTGCAGTCTATATGTGCCCTCGGCCTCTCACCACCTGCTGATCAAGCTGCTCCTGATCACTTCCTGATAGTGAAAGTGTCTGTAGTGTGTGGGTCCCTCACTAGATAGCTGAGAGGAAGAGTTTGTGGCTTTGTTACTGAGGCCTGGTCTACATTAAACAGGAAGGTTGACTTAAGATAGGCAACATAGCTGGAGTTGACATATCTTAAATCACTGTCCACACAGCGAGAGGTCGACAGGAGTGTCACGGAGTGTGGGGGAGTCACTGGGCCCTGCTCCCCTATCCTCAGTCAGATGTGACTCCCAGCCAGCAAGTAGAGCAGAAGGTTTATTCATTGACAGGGATACAGTGTAGCACAGGCTTGTTAACTCTGGAACCAGGAGCCATCAGTACAATCCCACTTGAGGAGAGGGGGGCCGAGGGCCAGCGCCCTGGGCCCCCTCCCTGCATCCTAAGCCAGCCGAGAGTAACTCACACATTACGCAGCCAGTCCCAGCCCTGCAGGCCACACACAAACCCCTCCTCCTTAGTCTAGCTTCCCAGGTAGAAGGTGTCACCTGGTTGAATCTTCCACCTAGACTCAGGTTACAAGACAACCTGAGCTATTGTTGTGTATGTGCTAAGATGGGGCAGACTCCCCTTAGGGAGAGCTACACCCAACATTCCTATCTCTAGCCAGGTACCACTGCAGTGCCCAGGGAAACTGGGGCACACACACAGGGTTACAACAGAACAGTACAGGTCAGTAGGAATCACATACAACATAACAAAGTGAACAAAACAAGCACAATCCCCACTACATCACAGGGAGCTTATGTCTCCTGTCAGCTTTGCTTACTCCTCGTGAGGGGCAGGAATACAGGTGCCGACCTCTATAAGTTTGAGTTGGTGGATCTTCACTAGCCCCTCTAAATCGAACCCTGGAAGATTGACCATGGCAGCATTGATCTACCGTGTAGTGTAGATAGTACTTTTCTTGTTAAAAAAAAAGTGCTAGTACTCCAGGGGAAAAGTTGTTGAGAAAAAAAAAAAAAAGCTGGGATGGGGCCGGCATTGCCCTTTGAAAAGACACGGCCCCTTTAAGACAATTGCGTACCAGGCAATACTGTCACAAAAAAAGCACTGAGTGTAGACATGGCCTGAGAGACCAGAGTGAACAGCAGTAAACAACTGGGAAAGAGGAAAAAGCCCTCTACCCTTTTTATTTAACATGAGAATGGACAAATTTTGAATGGGAGAAATAACCTTACAGTCAGGCTGAGGGGATGGACTAGAAATGCCCCTGGGCTATTTGGCCTTTTCCAACATTTCTACTGCTCTTAAAGCAACAAAAGTGGGCACCCATTTGGTTGGTTTTACTTTGCAGCTGAAGATCTCATGGTGCTTCCCCAGAGGAGTCCACCTACCTCAAGCCCTACTTTGAGAAGGAGACTGGCAGCCAAGAGAGAGGATTGCTAGTGCCAGTCTCTTTTGTATTGCCGGGCACAGGGGGCAGCTGGACTCCCAAAGCCTGCTTTTGGGTCTGATCCTGGAAGATGCTAACCACCTCCTTCAAGGTGCTGAGTGCACTTGACTCTTATTTGCTTCAGTTGGATTTCAGGGTGCTCAGCACCTCACAGAATCAGACCTTAAAGTGCAGTTCTACTCTGAAAAAATTATGAAGTAGAAAGGGCAGCTTCTTACTCAGCAGCTCTGTTCCATGGTTATTTGCAGAATCTGATTAGCTGAGTTGAGAGAGAGTAGTCAGTTTGTACTGTTTTCTGATCCTGTTAGCTCTGCAGAGCCAACATAGCGACAGGAGGATCGGCCAGAGTCTATTCCATCTTCTGCATCACCTACAAAATTACTGAAATCCAGTCAGTTACAGGCAGTAAGGTGTCACTGAGGTCTTAAACTGGCCTCGGGCAAAGCCTTTATTGCTGGTGGTAATTCATGAGAAGGAAAAAACTCTGCTGGACCTCTCCGGAGAACTCAATTCTCCGTCTGAGTTTGCAGATCTGATGGCAAAGATCTCATTCTTGTACTTATAAATGGAGCCCTTTTGAATTATAGTCCTCGAGAAACCCATAAATATAGAGGCCTACAAGGTGATTTTTTACTAAAAAAAAAAGATTGTTTTACATGGTGTCACAGTTAAATATTCAAATCTTGGCCCACCCCAGAAGAGAAAGAGAGAGAGCATTTCCCAGTTCAAATTAAGATGGATGCAAGCTTCAGACAACTGGACAGTTTAAATGGATAACCAGGTAGAAACAGCTAATGAGCCCATAACATGCGAGGAGTGGTTGCCCCAGCTTTACAGGGGGCCTACAGAGTTGTTCTTTCATCATGGGGCACAGGAGCTAATTAGTATGTAATTTCTTTTCATATTCTAACCCAAGTTTCTTAATGACCCATTTAAATGAGAGGCCCTTTCTTTTTACTGCTCTCTGAGGTAATCTTTGGCTCTCTGACTTAGTTACAGCAGCCTATGAATATTTTAGGGAGTTACAGTTTTCCAGCCCACATCACATCACCAGCTGTAGCAGACCCATACACACAGGGTGTGTGTGAAGGGTGCAAACACGCACCCCATGGTCCCAGCCAACCAGGGAAGGCAGAAGCGACACGCTGCCCGAGCCTCGCTCCCCCATGCTCTGGCTTGCCAGGGGAAGGCTGGAGCTGATTCCTCCCCTCTCCTCCAGGAGCAAGGCTCCCATTTACAGAAAAAGCACTCACACCTCACAGAAATTCCAGCATACGGGCCAGTGTAGGGTGATGAAAACCCAGCCCCTTTATGTCATTTTCATGTTTATCCAAATGTCAATTGTCTAAGAAATGCTTTTCTGTTCTAACCCTCCCCCTTCTCTCTTTTTTCTTTATGCCAGACTTGCCAAAAAATCCTGGTTTGGTAACTTCATCAACCTAGAGAAAGAAGAACAGATCTTTGTGGTCATAAAAGATAAACCACTAAGCTCCATCAAGGCTGACATTGTGCACGCATTCCTGTCGGTAAGTCATACTATAGACTCATCTCACCGTTCAATTCCAAGGACATCTTAAGCCCACATATTCTTGGACAGTGTCTCCATCTCCTGGAATTCTTCCCCATTGTTTTCATTTCTGCAGTACTTCCTTTGCTCATCTGGTTCCCACTTAAACCTGGCCTAGTGAGGTACCAAATTTCCGAAGGGGACTTGAAAAGTACTAAATCGGTCTTCCATGGACCTGACAGTGCTTGGGGTTTAAATGCAGTCAGAGCTTAAAATGCTGCTGCAGCGCCTAGAAAGTCAATTCCTTAATCAACTGTTCCATTAGATTAATGTCACATTATTTTTCCTTTCTCTTTTTGGGTCCCACACTTATACTCGGGGTTTTCCCTTCACCCCTTGCTCCAGGCAGGGAAATTTGTCTTACAACAGACTTTCTTGTCTTAATTTTAAATCTCCCTTGTACTTCGCACACCGAGATGAATCATTTTCTCCTAGGGCTGAAGCATTAGTGGTTGGGGATACTGTCTGTCTGCAGCTTAAGGTCTCTACACCTGGGGTGCATCTAGACTGGCAAGATTTTGCGCAAAAGTGGCTGCTTGCCAGCTGTCTACACTGGCCGCTTGAATTTGCACAAGAGCACTGACGTTCTAATGTAAGAATTCAGTGCTTCTTGCGCAAATACTTTGACGCTCCTGCTCAGGGATAAGAATACTTGCGCAAGAGAGCCAGTGTAGACAGGCACCTTAATTTTTTGCGCAAGAAAGCCCAATGGCTAAAATGGCCATTGGAGCTTTCTTGCACAAAAGCATGTCTACACTGGGTATGGATGCTTTTGCGCAAAAGCACTTTTTGCACAGAAGCATCCGTGCCAATCTAGATGCTCTTTTGCGGAAATACTTTTAACGGAAAAACTTTTCCACAAAATCATGCCAGTCTAGATGCAGCCTTGGGGTCTTGAGATCAGTGGCATAAGGCATCCCTTCCTCCCAGACACAAAAGACTTATTCTCTCCTACCTATAAGTATAAATGAAGAAAATGTAAATGAGAGTGAAGTAGATGTGAGGGTTTGGGTTTGGTTTTTTTGTGTTTGTTTTGTTTTGTTTTTTTATTTGTTTGTTTTAAGAGAGTTAGGTAGATTTTTTTAATTGGAGTTGGGGTAGGGCTTAGTTTATTTCATATATGTTGCTAAATGACATTGAAAATTGGTGCCAGTCTGCAGAAAACCAATCTCTGTGTTACACATGCTGTAATGAATTCTGTGCCATAGAGCAGTCAAGACCTCTGAACCTTTCTGCACACAGCACAGACCGGCAAGCATGGGGTATAACATTAGTGTGCATCTCCCACTGTAAATGACCAAACATTTATTTAAACGATGCCTCTCCCTTACATGAAGTCTGTGAAGTCAGCTCTGTATATGAGATTGATGCATTGGCTTTTAGTGCCCAGCAGTCACTGTGAATACCCCACCTGCTCTCTCACAGCTGGCTTGCTAATAAAGATAAGGCAGCAAGCTGCAAAATGAATCTCTGGGGCCTGATTTTCAGAAGAATGCCGTTCTTCTTTGGGCACCCAGGTAAGTGGTCAACTTGCCAAGATTTTTAGACTATTGGATGCTGAGCTTATTGGAATTCTGGTCCTGGCTGTCAGCCCTGGGCACCTGAAAACCAGGTCCAGAACAGGTTTGAAAATCTGCCCCGCCCTAGCAGTCACTCACAGTCTATTTCCTATGATCACAAGGTGGGGGGTAGTATACAGTCCCTATGGAAATCCCAGGCTCTGATCCTGTTTGTCCAGGTCAGCTATGGAGTAACCATTTTCCTGATCTCTCTTTGGTATGCTGCTTTGAGATCTCTACCGCCAGTTGATATTTCTCTCCCAACTGTGAGGAGCTACTGAAATGCATGCTTGGGAGATGTCAAAGAACCCACCACATTCAGCTGCGCAGCAGGGGGAATACCGAAGAGTGTCAGGCACTTCACAAATATGCAGTCTTTCAACAGGGCTTCATCCAGCAAAGTGCTGTGCATGCCTGTGGGGTGCTGAGTGCCTCCACTCCCACCGATTTTACAGGAGTGCACAGCACTGCGAGGTTGAGACCATAGGCAGCCAATCTTGCTCTCTCCAGTGGCTGGGGAGTCCAGGCATACAGGTGAAAGAGAGAGAGAGAGAGAGAGAGAGAGAGAGAGAGAGTTCTTCTTCAGTAGAACATTTGCCCTCTGACCATATCCTCCACTGCTGCCACCTTCTTTCAGATTCCCAGCCTCAGTCACAGCGTCATCTCACAGACAAGTTTCCGCGCAGAGTACAAGTCCACGGGGGGTCCTGCTGTCTTCCAGAAGCCAGTGAAGTTCCAGGTGGACATAACGTACACAGAAGGGGGTGAGGCACAGAAGGAGAATGGGATCTACTCAGTCACTTTCACGCTCTTATCAGGTAACCAAGGAGTGGCTGCAGCCCGTGGGCAGGGTGGCTTCGCCCTGCCGCTGGGGTATGACGGCAGACATGGGAGCAGAGACGATGAAAGCCTAGAACTTGGGAAGAGAGGGGACACTTGGGAGAAGAGGGCATAGGAAGGAAGAGTGATGGTTTTGATATCCTGTGGTTTAGGCTGCACTGGGGAGAGAAAGGGAAAGTCACGGGAAGCAGCTACGGCTGTCCTCGTCAGACAGATGGGTGCGGTAGAGTTGCTGCTGTGCCATGCTTTGGACTTGAAATGCTCTGTCCTGCCCTATTGTTTCAAAATAATGGGGTCTCTGAGCAAGGGGCTGTGAAGCCACTCACAGGGTTTTATCCTTACCCAGCCACCACGTAAGGAACAGTGTAGCTACTCTGCTGTCTTAGCTGGCTGCCAGGCGCACTGTGAGAGAGGCAGGTTAGTCTGCCTCAGAACTGGGCCCTTGAATAACCTGGATTCTCTTCTGGGTCCTCTCCCCCTCCCTTTGCAGTCTCTCTCCCCTTTACCTTTTCCGCAAAGGTTCTCAGTAAGTTCTCTCCCCAATAGGGATGTTAGTGTACAGTTGTGTACACGATTAACTGATTAGCCTGAGCTATCAGAGGCAGCAAGGTAGGGGAGGTGGGAGCCCACAGAGCCACCTGCCCCCGCACTGCTGCTTCTGATAGAGAAGCAGCGCTGGGGTGGGCAGGCGGGAGCCGATACGCATGAGTAGCCGGCTTTTAAGCCAGCTCTCTGTGTGCTTGCTCCATGGAGCCATCTGCCCCTCCCCCTTGCTGCCTCCCACAGAGGCAGCAGGGAGAAAGGCAGGCAGGAGCCGGTGTGGGGGAAGCGAGCTTCATGAAGCCACCTCCCCCTCCTCCCACGCTGCTGCCTCTGTATCAGAGGCAGCAGTGTGGGGGAGAGGGGCATGCGGGATGCAGAGACAGCTGCACGGACAGTAGGCAAGCAGTAAGCACAGATCAGTTCCCGCCTGCCACTCCGCACTGCTGCCTCTGACACACGCCTGTCACTCCGCACAGAGGCAGCAGTGCAGGGTAGCAGAGGACTCCCTGGGAGTGGGGCTGAGAGAGCACTGGCTGCCGGCCCTGCCCCTGGGGACTATCGAATAATCATGTCACCGGTAAGATTTGGTGCGATTACACGATTATTAAATTAAACAATATCTAACCTCCCTGCTCCCCAAACAGGTCCAATATGAAAGCAAGCCATCTCGCGGGTGGCTGCAGAAATCTAGTCGGTGCACCAATACCAGAGCCTCCCCTCCTCTCTAGATCTGACTGGTGTCACCTTCACCTCCTTTTTGACACATACTTGCTCTCCACAGACTGGTTGTCAAGTGCGAGGGAGGAGACCTTTCTGATTTTAAATCCTTGGCTGGCGGAGGAGGGGCTAGACCTTGTGGAGGTGTTGACTGCAAATAAATGTCGGCTGAATACAGATAGACTTGGCGTTGGTAGGAGGGATACAATTGAGAGAGTCCAATAAAACCCTGTTAGAATAGATTTTGAATGGATCTGGCAATAGGAACTTTTGGAGAAAGGAATTGCTGTAATTCCCACTGAGAACCCTAATTCTTGGAGGGCTGTGGAGCCATCTGAGGGAGGCGAGAGATTAAAAAGAAAAAAAAATGAAGCTCCTCCAGAACATTTCAGGTGCTAGGATGGGGAAGGAGCATCTAAGCTAGACTCTTCCATGGAGTCATTCACATCATAGCTCTGAAGTGCTGCTTGTACAGTAGCTCTTCAGTCAGACACCAGCACCACAGCCACAGTCTGATAAAGGGAGGGGAGGAGATTGCAGGGAAGATGCTGGTTCTTCCTCCCGCAGTGTTCCTCTCACAGCTGTTTGCGTCTTTTCTCTTCCCACAGGTCCCAGCCGTCGCTTCAAGAGGGTAGTAGAAACTATTCAGGCACAGTTGTTAAGCACACATGACCAGCCTTCAGTGCAGCAGTTATCAGGTATGTTGTTTCCACTGTTCGGTGCTTTGCTTCAGCAAGGACATGAAGGTGAAGTGCCTGTCAGCCGGGGGGAGGAGAGGGAGCACATCCCTCTGGTTGCAAATAGAAACTAGCTTCATTCAGACAGAACAATTACTCAGAAACTATTCAGGCACAGTTGTTAAGCACACATGACCAGCCTTCAGTGCAGCAGTTATCAGGTATGTTGTTTCCACTGTTCGGTGCTTTGCTTCAGCAAGGACATGAAGGTGAAGTGCCTGTCAGCCGGGGGGAGGAGAGGGAGCACATCCCTCTGGTTGCAAATAGAAACTAGCTTCATTCAGACAGAACAATTACTCTCC